AGAAAAGTGTTCACATGCAAACTGCAGGTTAGAAAGGACAATAACAAATAAAATAATACATTTTTGGGAAACAGTGAGAGGCTATAGTGTAACAAGTATTTCTAAGCAAAAGAAACCTACCTCTTTAGCAGTGGAAGGTCGAAGGAATGTCCTTTCTTCACACTATTGGGAAAATGTACGGATTTTGTTTGGATTCTGCAGCACTGCAGCAGAAAGATTCCTAACCTCTTTTTCCTGGATTCTGTGCCCTCACCTGTATTTACAGATGAGCTGCCATTATTCGCACGCAGTTGGGTTGCCATGGAAACATATGTTTATTTTGACTTCTGAGGAGAGGAGCAAGTGTGCGCTGAGTTGCTGAGTTTTAAAACTTTTAGAAACAATGAACCGCAAACATAGTAAGGATGATGAGATACCCTTGACGATGACAAAGCCGTCAATACTACAGGAAACCAGGGAGCGTTTTGATACACTTCTCAAAGTTGCACTGAGCCAGGAAGATACTACAGAAGTAATCATACCAAACTATGCAGTGAACAAACCAAAACAATCATTGTTGTAATTTACCAATTTTCAAATATGTGTAAACATTCTTTACAGAAATTTAATGCTAAAGGAAGAAGAAAGTCATCTCTGAAAGGTGCTTTTTTTAAGGATGTGAAACCACAGAAAAGGAGGTCAGTTAGTCTATGGTAGTGATGTATTCATTTCTAGAAACGCCTTTTCAATTAACATTTTTTTTTGATTTGCAGGTCAAAGAAAAATCTAAGCACATCTACACAAAAATTAGTAACCGAGGATGATCAATCAGCGTCCAGTGAGCAAGACGAGCCAAATCAGCAGAATGAAACGTCATTTGATTCAAGTGAAGAAGCAAAAGATTATTCTCCTGTTTCTAGATTAGACAAACTTCAAATAGCTGATAAATCAGAAACAGGGAATCTCTCTAAAACTAAAGTCTTGGTTCATTCAAATAATGTGATGCTTGACACTGCCAGCACATCACCTAAAAAGCTAAATAATATATTTTACAAAAGATCATCCACAAGAGATGAATCAAGAGAATCAAGGGACACCACATCAAGTCGTGTGTCAAGTCCAGATTCTGTTATGACAGCAATTGAAGCTGCATCACCTAGCAAGAGTATTCCAAGTACCTCACCTGAAATGCTCCGTGTTAGAGAAAATAATAAGGTTGAAGAATATGAGTTAAAACCTTTGAAAGGTTTATCTGCATCATATGAAGAAATTGATGAAACTAGTTTTGAAAAAGAAGATGATGCCAAGAGTAAACATGCAGTAAGAAGTATGGAAAATGCTGCATCTTATGAAGAGATTTTGGAGGATTCAAGAAGCCATCTGGAAAAAATTGAAACAGATAGCAATGAAGACCTGTCTCAAGAGTCTGATCGACGGATCAGAAGTAAGAAGAATAGAAAAAATAAACAGCAGGTATCGCTTTCAAATAGTAGAGCAAGAGGTGATGAAAATACAGACACTAGTTCAAATGATAAAATGGCTATTGATAACAGGCATCAGAAACGACATGTCCCTCACACACGGAAAAGGAGAAAGTCAACTGCAAATAATGAAAATTATTCTCATTCTGTTGCCCAATATAACTACGAAAAAATTATAGGCATAACTGTACATCGTTGTGATACTTTGAAGGTAAGATTTTCAAGAAATTGACCTGAAGCTATAGAGTAAAAGTAAAATGAATTCGTAACTCTGTTGCGAGCTGTAGTGTGAATTAACACTTTCATTTCAGATTGACAGTTTCATTCAACACCCAATGGTTCGTGTTCACATACTTGATACAAAAACTGGAGTGTATTTAAAAAAAAGTCAATCAAGTCGAAATGTGTCATATTTTCAAGAAAGTACAAATGTAGATTACATTCAACCATTAACATGTCAACCCTGTAAATTTCAAGACCCAAGGTATGTTAAAAATGCAATAATTGATTTTTCTAATATGTAAATTTTTTAATTGGTGTTTTATTGATATACATTCTGTGCTTGCAAGGTCTTTGACTCCTATATGGGAGGAAACTCTACTTTTCAATGAAGATATAAAACACATATTGCAGCCACATTCTCCAATATTGATCCTTTTTGAAGTTTTGGACTGTGTATCTGTGGATACTGCAATGGCACAATTTAAAAAATTAGGTAAGCAATTTTCCTGGATCTCTTGTCTTCTACTGCTTGTCTGCAATTTGTTCATTCATTGTGGAGAAATTAAAAAAAATTCAAGTTGAAGTACTTCTAATTTTTTGTTAGGCTCTGAAAGCGGATGGCACAGAATAGCATGGGGATTTTTGAAGCCCTGCGGTCCAAATGATACTTTCAACATAGATAAAAAGTTACGGTTACAGCTGTATAAGCCTCGCTCTGAGAAAACACTGAGGGGTGATCAGACTGGTTGTGATAAATGTGATGTATGTATGCATTTGTATTGATCTTCCAGTACCTTAGAATTTCACCACATCTTTTGACAATTGAATATTTGACTAGGTTTACCGATGGTGGAGCAAGGGCGGCTGGATCCATTACCCATCGACACTTCATGTTACTGTCCACAGCCTCCCTATACCATCAAATGTCACTCCAGCTTTAAGATCATACTTTGCTCTGCAGCCTGAACAATTTCCAACGAGCCCCAATGTTTCTGATGATGATAATGATAAAGCTAGTAACAGCATCAGAATTACAAGTGTATGTACAATGTATTCCCTGCTTCTTTTTCTGTTTTACTTTTGCTTATAGTTTCTACATTTTTTTTTTTTTTTTTAAGGTGTCACATATGTTTGGAACATTTTATTTTATTCTTTTTAATATATTTTTCTGTTTTCGGGTGTTTTTTTTTTGTTTTAGAGTCGCCTGAATTCAACTAAAAGTCTTAAAGATGAGGTGGTCTGGTCCCGCCTTCCTTTACAGTCTTGCAAAGTTCCAAATGAAAAAGTTTTGGATCTTCCTGGAGGATTAAATGGCAGCTTTTCCATAAAATATAGCCACCATGGCCTTTATCTAGCCTCAACAGCAACCAACCAGACTATACACAGCATAAATATTTTTAGAGTAAGTTGTTGAAGTTATTGGATACTCTGCTTACTGAAACATTCTTAATAGTTTCTTTCTCTTTTACTACTTCCCCTGACAGATATTGGATGGTACAGAGATTGTACGGCTTCAAGGTCACCCAGCATTAATCTATAGTTTAGATTGGTCTTTAAATGATGAACTACTTCTATCAGCTTCTGCTGACTGCACAGCTTGTATTTGGTCAGTGAAAAGTAAGAAAACCTCGCCTTTGCAGGTATAATATGTTACAATTTTTGTAGTCATAATAATTTAAACAACATATGTAATATTGGTATGGATCAGATTGAGTGACAAAGTATGCTTTTCAGATGTTACCTCATCCTTCATTTGTTTACTGTGCTGTTTTCCTTACTACAAAGCCCTTGAGCCTGGCCACTGGATGTTGTGACCAAATTATTCGGATCTGGAGAGAAAACACTGAATCATCATCTTTCGAGGTTTTTTTATTTTGTGTGATATAGCAATTCAATGAGAAAAAGACTTTCAATAATCTTTATTGTACGTAACATTTTTTTTCTGGTAAAAATATTATTGCAGCTAAAACAAGAGATAAATGGACATGAAGGCTATGTGAGTACATTGTGCGTAAATTCAAATGGGAATCTTTTTTCTGGTGACAGTAATGGACAAATAAGAATATGGCAGTTTAACAATGAAGGTTTTCTGAGCGAAATAAGGTATTTCAATTTCTGAATTTTAAGACAAATTTATAATTGATTAGTAATAAAAAGAATTTTTTTTTAAGTTTGGGCGTAAATATTTTCATTTTACACAAATAACAAATTTTATGTTTAGAGTTATGAATGTGCGAGAACTGAAGGGAGTAGTTTTGAGTCATCTGGTTCTTCATCCTGGAGGTAAACGATTACTTGTGCTTGCCCGAGACAGTTTGCTGCGAATGATTGATATTGGCACTGGGGTTGCAATTCAGTGGTTCAAAGGAGCCTTGAATCACAGGTAACAAACATACACATACTGTATTTATACCATATTGCAGGTTTATAAACTTCTGCGTTTTTATTGTTCCTTGTAGGATTCACAGTAAAGCGTGCATTACACCATGCGGTGGATTAGTATTCTCACCAAGTGAGGATGGCACATTTTATGTTTGGAATGCAGACACAGGACAACTTATTGCATCTTACTCTGCAATATTTCAGGCCACACATCATATAAGTTCTTATAGGAATTCAAGTCACAAGCCTGAATCTTCAACATTAATATTAGGTGGTGCTGTTGATTACCACCCATTTGATCATATAGTGGCTTTCTCAGTCTATGGCACACATGCACCTGTTATAATGTGCAAATACAACAGGTACAGCTAAAATGTCCATGTTTTATTTTTAAAAAATTGAAGTTTGACCAGTTTTTTTTTAATTTGTTTTATATTTTCTTGGAATAGGGAATCATGTGGAAAAGATATTGGTCTACAAGCAGGGCAGCAAGAAGTTGAAAAATCTGTATCTTCGGATGCATTTGCCAAATCTGCTCAAATAGTTTCCCAGGTGCAAAAGGCTCAAGTAAAATTAAAGGAAGCATCAAACAGAAGTATGCTACATTGTGTTTGTTTTTTGTTTTTTTAATGTTATTTATATGTATATGTATAGTTTTGACATGTCATAAGGAATAAGCATTAATGGTTTTTTAATGGTCTTTTGTTCAGATTTTTCAAGGCATGGTACATCAATTTTTGCGTCCAGCCCTGAGTGTGAAGATGAGGGACTAAGGAAAAATCAACATCTATCTTACATTATTAAACAACTGGATTATGTTCTTCACCTTGGTAGGCTTTCTAAACAAGAACAGCTTGATGTGATATCTCCTCAACCGGCAGCCGCACATAGTCCAAGCATTTCTCCTGATTCTTCATTACAAGTTGGCAGCAGCCCTAGTGTAACAAGAATTCGTAAAGAGAAAAATGACATACATAAAAACAAGACTGAGGAAGTTGGTTCTGAAGTTGCATATTCTGTAACTCATTCAAATACGACAGAGAGACCACAGGAAGGATTGCTACTGGCCCTGTCAAAAGAAGATAAACCAGCATCTGAGGATGTTCACTTTACCCCTACTGTTGAACTCCAATACGTCCAGGAAAAACAACCTCCACGGCCTATACCTCGTCAAAGAAAACTGAAGAACTTGCGTCCAAATGGCAGACAACTAGCTCTTGCAGATGTGTCAACAACCGATACTTCAATTCTTAGTTCAGAAAGTGAAGACACAATTAAAACCAATAAGCCAACATCTGCACAACTTTTTAGTGTTAATGAAATTAAAGATGTTCGGAGCTTTAATCCTAAGGCTGACCCTACCAACAGAGTTCAAGTGGTTCATCATAAGACAGTATATTCTTCTTTTGATTCGGACAGTGAAGCTCATCTAGTGAATCAATAATGTTTTAAAGATATAAATATTTTTTACTGATTTTACCCTGAATTCGACTTTTAGAAGAATATTGTTTTCTAGTCATTAGGAAAAAATAAATAAACAAGAAAATAAACTCGTCTTCAAATTGTATGTCCCGTTTCGTTTCACCCACAATCAAGAAGGAACGTTTTACAGGAACTATGGGCGTCACACGTTCCCGAGAGCTGACCTGCAAATAGGCGCTCAGGGCGGGCCGCCGTCCTCACACATCTGTATGGCGGGTTGGCCTACCCATCGCGCCGCAGGCGTTTTCATGTCATCTATGATTTGGGCTGTTTTACCCGGGGGTTGGGGAGAGATAACGATGCCCTTTGTGCCCGCCCATCAGCCTATGGCCAGTAAGGCACCGTCCCTCTCTATGGACGAAGTGTTGGGGATTCGTTTAGTGAGGTGGCACCTTTAGGATCAGCGACTCGAACAATGGGGCGATAACATCAAGAATCATTGTAAATAAAAAAACAAGTCTTTTATTTTTGGTTTCCAGCTTAAAATTAAATGTTGTTGG